AGCCAGGGACTTGCCTGCCCTACACCCCACTGAGGGAGACAATTTCTGCTGCAAATAAAGCATTTAGGCAGCTGGATTTGCCTGAGAAACCTTGCTCCTCCCTGCCACCCACCACTAGCACTAAGGAGCTGACCTCTGGTCATAACCTGTCAGAGATCACAAAAGCAGCTGCTTTTCCTCACGTTGTCCCATCCCCAGTTATCAGTTCCCAACCCTTTTCTCTTCTTTTTCCACAACGAGCTGAGCTCCAAAGCCCCAGTGCTAGGGTGAGTGGGAGAGGTCTTGCTGTACTATGGCTCTGGGCTATTCTAACCGGCTACAAATTTTGGCTTCGATGTATTCCCCTCAGAATTGTTGTCTGCTCAGATCCCCTTAAAGAGGGATTAGAAGTCAAGAGTGAGAAAAGAATGGGGCTAGAAGAAGTCTCTTAACTACTGGTACAGTTGGGGAACCACTGGCCCACATCAAAGTTTGGGATGGGGGACCAGAAATCTAAACCCCAGGGGAGGACCCCCCTCTCAGTGACACCAAGATCATTTTATTTGACTCACCACCATCCACTAAGAATTGGACTTACAATAATAGACGTTAGCTTACTCCTGGGATGGGGCAGGAAATGACTCCTCCTTCCCCCCCAACCAGAAAGAGACAAGGGAAACCACTTTTCTGCAAATGGCCACCTGCCCCAGAAGGGCCCCTTCCCTCCTCCGTGAGATCCAGCACATCTGTGCTCCCTCCCCGGTGCCCTTGCTTCCTCCACCGACTGTCCTTGGAAAGAACAATCGTGATCACAGCTGATCGGTGGAGCCTCTTAAACCCAGCCACATGTCCCGGATACATCCCCAGCCCTGTCAGCTGTCCGGATCTGCAGGGTGGCCCCAGGCCCCCTCGAGAGCTAAGCATCCTCCGCCTCTTACATCACACAGCACCCCACATCTCCTGTGCAGGAAGGGGCTCCCTTACAACCAAGCCCTCCTTGCTAGGCACCCAGCAGTAACAAGGGGCACAGCCCCAGCCCTGCACACTTGCTAGCTGCTCAGCTGGCCCTGGCCCCTCGGGAGGAGTTTCTTCTCCCCACTCTGCAGATGGGGAGACTAAGGCCCAAGCTTAGCACATTTCCTAGCCCCTCATCTGCTTTGACCCAGCCCCTACCTTGGTCTGGAAGAGGTAATACAGTCTTCGGTTATGTTGCCCTTCATCACCTTCCTTTGGCTCTTTTGAGAGAGTAAAAATATATTCCAATGGGTCATTGCTTTCCCTTCTGTCAGGTGGACCCAAGTTGACCATGAGATGGAACCTTCTCCACTCTTGCCATGTCGACATCCTAAATCCAAAATTTTTTATTCTATCCCTAGATCCTGAGGTTTTCCTCACAAGGGAACTTCCACCTCAGTAGGGCCCAGATGACAGACAACTCTGGATGCAGAACCACATTGAAGGCCGTAACTTTCTAAGAACACTGACCTTCTCTGAAGAGAAGGGGCTCCTCTCTAATAAGCCTCCTGGTACCATCACCCGGGCCCTACCCAAGACGATGGCCGGGGAAAGACAAATACTCGTGGGGGCTGGAAGGTGTCACATGAAGGGACTAATAGCATTAGACGTCGGAAGAGAATCCCACACAAAGGATTTATACTTTGGTGATACCAAAGTATTCAACCCCAGAGCAACACACCTCAAGGGCCATTTCTGGAGGTGTTAACGGGTGTTTTTCCCTCCCTTAGTTTTAAAATCACTGACTTTCAAATTCTGCACTGAAAGGCTGCCTTCATTTGTTTTTCAATTCAGCCAAATCTCTGGGCAGAGGCAATGTCAGGTTTACCAGAGTTGGGGGGGTGGAGTTCCAAAGAGCCCGTCTCTCCACCTATTCTGGAAGGATGAAAACAAAAATGACATCTGCGAGCTCCAAATGCCCCCAGCCTCTGCCCTGCTTTAACCAGGAATCATACTATTCCACGTGATCAGTCTCTGCCCACTTCACCCTACCAAAGCTTTAAGGAGATGCTGCCATTTCAGAGGGTAATTTGGTAAAGGTCATGGGAATGAGCAGGAGAGCACTTACTCTAGAGCTCAGAATCTACGAAGGAAGATAACCAAGAGACGTCTTTAAAGTCTTCCTCATCAAGCTGACCAACATTTGTCCAACAAGGAGATTTTAGAAATCTGCCACCAAAATGCCCCCTACCCAGTACTGGCCACGCAGCTCAGTTGGTCAGGATGTGCACTGCTCATATTAGAATTCGTCTGGAGCCTTCTGGCAAGTGAGGACCCTTCCAAGGGCTAGGAAAGACAGAAAATTTGATTTTACACTGGACACATCTACAACTTCTTTCCCACCCTTCTGCTGAAAGAGAGAGGAGACAGAGAAGGAGAGAGGGCTGGGGCGGGGAGAGAGAGAGTTAGGTGTGGGGGGCATTGTCAATGGCTGCCCTCCCTTTCCTAGTCCTCCCCACACCCACACACTAAGGGAAAAACTGAAACTTTCAGATGTTTATGCTCCATTCGTATGAAGATCCGGGGGAACTCTAAACATTGTGAAATCACCAGTGCAATATTGGGTAGGGCCTCAGGCCAGACCGAGCTTATTAAGAGATTGATAAACCCACATTTCCTAAATGCTCTGGGCCTTCACCTGCCAGCTTTGTATCCCCCAAGAGGCTGAGAGAGACTGGAGAGCCTTGGTCAGCTAACCAGACAGAGATGCACTTGCTCTCACCCCTCCCCAAACTGGAGAGAATCATGCCACTGATTTGGAAGCAGGAAAGAGGGGGTTCACACTGGGTCTGGGTGCCCCACCGAACCCACAACCTTCCTTTCATCGCGAATCACGCTGGGGTTGGCGGGGGGAAGTGGTCTCTGAGCCTTGATGGGCCAGACGGCAGCCTTCTGCCCTCATCCAGGCCTGGCAATATGGATACCCATCCAGCAGCTAGTACAAGAGGCAGCCAGCAGCTCTTCCCTCTGCCCACCATCCAGCCCCTCCAGCCCAGTTCGCTTCTCCCGTCCATCGCTCAGCCCATCAAGCCATGCAACCATTTTCCGCCTCTCCTGCCTCCTCTGCCCACAACCCCCAGCCCCCAATCAAAGAAAATTGAGAAACCGTCTTCTTGCACAAGAGCAGCTACTGTCTAAATGTTTTTTGATCGTCTGTATGGAGAGGAAACTGGGCAAAGCCCTGGTCCCAGTGATGGAGCCAAGCTCCAGCTGTCCTGGCTGGCCAAATTTGCCCTCACCCCCCTTCATTGCCCCCATAGGCTTGGCGATTCAGAATTTTCAGAACGTACCGTCTCTATCCTTCTCTCTTCTCGGTGATGTCAAGCCTGGTACCACCAAGAAGGAAGGAGAGAAAGCGGGAGCCTTATCTCTCCTACGCACGCAGCCTCTTCCTCCAGCTCCCACACGCCCGGCGTTATGGAAACGCACCTTCAGCCCCTACCACAGCCCCAGCGCGGCCCAGGGGCCCCGGGACCTGGCACAGCTCGGTGCCCGGAGATAGGGAGGCACGAGGAGGCCGAGGAGCCTCGGGCCCTGCAGAGGCCGGGGAAGGAAAAGGCAACTGCAAGGCAGCCGCACAGCATAAAATGCGGCAGCAGAGCAAAGGTCAGACGGCAAGGAACCGCCTCGCCAAAGCGAGAGAGAGCAGAAATGCCCTGTCCCGGCCAGCCCCGCGCTGACCATCGAGGGGGAGGCAGAAGGGAAGAAAACCCAGTCCCTTACGGCTCCGAAGGGGAAAGAAAAACCTACGTCGAGCATAGGCCGCTGCGGCGGGCTGGGGAGATCTACGGCAGAGCTGGCACCGTGGGCAGCGAGCCCGGGGTGGGCGAGCCGCCCAGGGCGAGGGCGCCCGCCGGACCCAAGAGGTGGCTCCTGACGGAGCCTAGAGCCGCCTGTTACAGCGCCCGAGGCCGGTGGTGGCAGGGGGAAAAAAGCCAGGCCAGAAGCAAACTCCCGGGACACGCACGGAGCTTCCGAGTGGTAGAGAGTGGGGAAGCTGTGCTTGGCAGTGCCCGGGGGTCGGGAACGCCGGTGCCAAGCTGTGAACACCCCCGGCGCCTTGCCGGCCCAGCCGAGGGCGTCAGGGAGCTGCGGCGCACCGCAGCGGCTCCAGGAGGCGCAGGGAGAGGGAAGGAACACTGAGGCGCGCCTAGAAATAGCGCACCATTTGCCCCAGCCCGAGGGGGAGTCGCGTCGCGACTCAGAGAGGGGCAGCTTCACATCCCGAAGCCGGTCGGGGACTTACTTTGAGGAGCCGCAGAGTCACAAGCATTGCTCCACGTCTGTGTGAATTCCCGAACCCCAGTGGGTCTGACGCCGCTGTCCTCGCAGACGCCGGCCGGAGGAACCGGCACTGGTCCCTGCGCTGCTCAGCGCCAGCACCGCGCTGTCAGCCCCTCTTGCTGCCTCCGCGGCGATATTGCAACCACTGCCTGGGAAAATGGCTTTTTTATGAATGGGAGGGAAGGGAGCTCCTGTGCGCACGCGCGCCGTTCGCGATTCTATGAATGGGTGGGCACAAGAGACCCCGCGCGCGCATGCGCCGCGCTCCTTTTTTTTTTTATGAATGGGGGGCCGGAAAAGAACTTAACCCGTGATTGCTGGGGCTGGCTCTCGCGCTCCTCCAGGGGCCGTCGTTCTTTTACAAAGAGGGGTGGAGGTTGTTGTTGCCTTTTTTTTTTTTTTTTTGTTTTTTTTTCTGATTTGGGAAAAAAAGATTTAGGTAGCATCCCCATTCCTTATTTTTTTTTTTTTTTTTTTTTCCTTTATGAATGGAGGGCGGCGGCGACTGCTGCAGCTGGCTCAGCTGCGCGGGCTGTACCCCCTCCCAGCCTGCGAGAGGAGGTAAAGGCCACCTTCACGCCACTGCGGGCCTGGGCTGGAACCGTCAGTGTTGCTGGGGGGCGGGGGGGCACTGCGGCCTCAGGATCCTGGGCTGAGAGCTGGGTGGGGGAGGACACACCTAGATCTAGGGATTTCTACCCGCCGCAGGCAGTCGGGAGGGCGGGGGAACGGGAAGACCCCTGCTGAGGGCCTTCTCTTTCTCTAGACTACGGGCGTCGGGGGCGAGGGGTCTCGAAGCTGTGTTTACCAAAAATTAAGAAAATGTCAAACGTCCATATCAAAGAAGGGCGGAGTGGGGATTGCTGAGTGAATCTGGTTCCTTTCCTGAGGCTGAGTCTCCCTTGAGTAAGCGCAGACCACCCCTCCCCCCATATCTTGGGTGTGGACAGCGACTGGGCCGAGGCCTCTTCCGGCTCTAGTACCCCCCAGGGTGATACTGGCTACTCAGCTAGAGACCTGGCTCTCGCCTGGCAGCGCCCCCTTCCCCCCCACTCCAGGGTAATGTCTACAGTGCTCCGGCGTCCGCCCGCCCTCAGCTGCCCTGGTTAGTGCTCCCCTCTCCGTGCGTTTCCCAGCCCTCACGGGATGCGGGCCTGAGGTCCCTGTGTCCTCCGAAGGCCACAGCCCTTTGCTGCTGTAGGCGCCTCTCCCCAGCCACCCCTACTTGCGCCCCTCCGGGGAAGCGGGAGCGGCCGAGAATTGGCCAGGTGGATGGGTGGAGCCGTCCGCGCCGAGGATGCTGCCGGGGTGGCCACGGGATTAAATAACAACAGAGCTCTTGAGCCGCAGAGGAAATGGGAATGGCCGGGATCTTTTCTTTGCAGTTAATGATGGGGCGGCGGGGGCGGGGGGAGCGCATCAACCCTGGGCGGTGAAAAGAAAAGCCCCCGCCATTAGGCCTGACTCCGGGAAGGCGGGGAGCCCTCGCAGCAGGCCCAGCTCCGCCCAGGAACGGAGGAGGCTGTAGCCTCCGGGGAGTCCGGGGTAGGGGATGGCTTTGATGCGGGATAAGAGCTGGGCCAGGGTCTGAACCCCCTGTAAGGTTTGTCTTGATGGTGTTTTCGCTTCACGGGGAGGTTGTGAGGCAGGTTTTTTCTTCCTACGCCACCATAGATCTGCGCTTGGCTGTTGTCAAGGGAGCCGATGAAAGTCTTCCAGCCCAGGCCAGAGGTCTGCCCTTGGGCTGGATCTGGGGCTGGGGCTGGTGCTGGCGCTCTGGAGACAGGCAGAGGGAGAGACATTTTGCAAACCCAGACCAGAACCCAAGGTCACCGAGTCCAGGCTAAAATGGCTTCTCGCTACTCAAACGCACCTTTGCAGTGTGAATTCCTTACTCAGCTCCTGGGGGCAGAGCAGGCTCTCCCCCTACGAAAGCTCAGTCTTCCTTTCAGGGCCAAGACCTTACTTAATGCCAAGAGAAAAACTCTTTACTAGGACAATAGAGTATTTTACAGTTGTTCAGGTCTTCCCTTTACAGGCATCCAAGCTCAATATCATTATTCCTATTTGTCAGATGTAGAAATTGAGGCCAAGGGTCTTGCACCAGATAAATGAAAGATCTAATAAATGGTGGTGCTGATTTTCTAGATCTTTGCAACCCGGATCTTTCTACTTTGCTACCACCCCATCTTCATATCACAAGCCTAAAAACTTGTTTCTTGCAAGTCACTTAAGCATGTTAAACAAGGAAAGTTGGAGCAGTGATTTTCCAGCCAGTGGTTGCTCATGGGCCTTGCTGGAACAAGTCAAAGGATGGGAATAAGGAAATCCTTTCTAAACTATGGAAGAAAGTCAAGATGAGGTAGGGGGTGGCTGTCCTGTGTCCTTAATTAGAGGAATTAGCCAAGAGACAGTGTTCCTTCCATTCCTGGTCTGTTCTCAGCTTTCCTGAAGGAGAAGTGAGGGGACCCCAGCTCTGGTGGGGCTCCATGAAGGAGCCCCCAGTCCTGAGCTGGGAGGAGTCTCTGATGCCTGAGAAGACTGTGACTCGGTGTCTGGGAGGGCACTGGGGACCATATTCCGCTCTT